CGCGGGGCGTAGGGCTTAGGCCGTTTGCGCGTGCTCCAGTCTCCCTGCGCCGGGTCCTGGTCAGGCCGCTCGGGCAATCGCTTGAGCGTGCCGTTGTGGAAGGCAGACACGAAGTCGTCGACGGAGCTGAAGACTTGATGATTGTACACAATCTGCATGCATGAAGGTCAGCTGCTCTTCAATATGCAGAGAGAACACGAGGGGCGTGGGGAAAGCAGAAGCAGAAGAACTACAGGGTTGGTGACAAACGCACTTTCAGGATCTGCCAGTGCTCTGGGTCCGTTCCGGTGAAGTCGATGTATTGGAAGAAGTTCACGGGGTGAAGCCACGGCCCGGCAACGTTGCGGCGGTAGGACACCCAGGCGCGTCGGAAAGAGCCGTCGAAGCTGAAAGGTGCGGCCATGCTCGCAACCAGCGTGTCGTTGGGAAGGCCGCGTACGGAACCACCAAAGAGTTCCTGTGAATCCATATCAGAGGAATGTCGGAGAATCGTGTATTGGATGATATGGCCCACCTCCGTCGCTTCCGCGAGTGTAGGCATGACCTTCGCAAGGAGCGGAGAGAGCTCGCCGGCAGACAAGAAGCCCCGAGCATTGTACGGGATAGGGTCGCGGTGGTAGATCTCCGTGAGCTTCCTCATCCTCGTCTTCTCGCTGACCGGAATGGGGCCAACGAGATAGTCCTGCACATACGGTTCGCTTGCGGCACCATGGTGGACGACGACGTGTGCGTAACGATCCGGTGGGCTCGTCGTGTCCGGGTTGTCGAGGTACTTCACCGTGTCCTTTTTTGGAGGGCGATACGCCTCGATGCGGTAGATGAAGTTGTCGGAGATGGTCGCCTTGTCTCCTATAGTGAGGTTGAGATCGCGCGTGGCGGATGATACCCATTCATCAATAGCGACCGTCTCCGGGATCGTGAGCGACGCGAAGGGGTTCGTTCGTGCGGGTGGCCGTGCTGGAGGCGGAAGACTAGAAGGGCACTGTTGAAGTCCCTCGGACACGCCGTCGGCAGACACCGGGTACTGCTCAGTTGCATATTGTGCGGTTCGAGAGGGTAGCGTCCAGAACGCCGCGCAGCCCACGACACCAAGGAGCAAGACGGCACTGAACACGAGACGGCGAGAAGGTGAGGTACGAGCAGGACGCAGAGACGCCACGCCGGGCTCCAAAAGCCCTTCCAACTCCGGCTCGTTCTTCAGCGGTTCGTATGCGCCAGGGGCCATGATGTCCGTGGCAGGTTCTCGGACCGCAGAGCGAATGCCCAGTGGTGTATATATACGATACGGATGACTCGTGCCCTGAGGCTGCATGACGCCACCCCGGTCTAACCTATGGGCGCTTAGATATCATCCAAACTCATAATAGAATAAGCAGTAGATCACAGAGCTTACTGAAAGTGTCACTGCATACACTCGCGCAGTTCCTGAAGAATATGTCAGTGGTCCTCTCAAGCCACCTCTGCCCATGAATCGGTTCGCCGTCCCCCCACTTACAGCTTATGAGACTACCTGTTGCGCAATGCGAAGGGATCCAGTACTTTGACTCCTGAGAAGTGAGAGATAAGACGGCTGACCGTGCCGGCGGCTGGAATACGGCGAGAGATAACACTTCAAGATAGTTCGAACTAGTACTTCAGACCTGAGAGGAGATGGAACACGGGTAAATTGTTACACTTAGCGATACACTGCCTGTTCCTGGATTGTCGATACGTGTCAATCAGGCCCCATATCTGCTCACTGTCCGCTCATTACTCCTTCCGCCACTTCTGATAGTAGTGAATGAGGCCGGTGGTCTAGATGGTCATGTGAGTAAGTAAGTGTGTCAGCTTCTGCGGCAATCGTCTCGACATGAAGATACCACATACCGAGCTGTCGTGGCCCTTGACGTCCTCTGGCTTATCGAGCTGGTTAAGGATGTTCTTCGCGAGCACCTTACCGAGCTCGACGCCCATTTGGTCTGCGAACGAGTAGTTCGTAAGCTGTGAGGATTGTCAAGGATACAAGGGCGACTCACCGAACGAGTTGATGCCCCAGACAACACCCTGCGTGAAGATTTTGTGCTCATAGAGCGCAATGAGTGCCCCGAGGGTAGCCGGGGTGAGGAGAGGGAAGATGATGCTGTTGCTTGGACGGTTGCCCTCGAAGATCTTAGACTTGACGAGCGCATCCGACGCATTGGGGCCGAGTTCCTGCATTGAAGTTCAAGTCAACCCGGTTGTTCCACCTTTCGTTCCTACTGCAGTGCTCACCTTGCGGACCTCCTCTTCGGTCTTGCCGAACGCCAACGCTTCTGGCTGCGCGAAGAAGTTGCTGAGCAAGATGCGGTGGTGCTTCGAGTTGGCGATAGGGTTGTGAGTGGTGGCGGGTGCGAGGAAGTCTGCTGGGATCAGCTTCGTGCCCTGGTGTACGAGCTGGTAGAACGAGTGCTGGCCGTTCGTGCCCGCTGCTCCCCAGATGATAGGCTAGACATCACAACACCACTCATTAACGACGTTCATGTCGGAAAAGGTTAGGAGTGTACGTACACCAGTCTGGTAGGTGACACGCTGCCCAGCCTTGGTGATGGACTTGCCGTTAGATTCCATATCACCTTGCTGGAAGTAGTCCGCAAATTTGTGCAGGTACTGGTCGTAGGGAAGGAGAGCGTGCGTCTGTGCGCCGTAGAAGTCGTTGTACCATATACCGAGGACGGCAAGCAGGACCGGCAGGTTCTGCTCGAGCGGCGCGGTCTTGAAGTGTTTGTCCATGCCGTGTGCGCCTCGGAGCAGCTCCTCGAAGTTATCGTAGCCAATGACAAGCGCGATGGACAAGCCGATTGCACTCCACAGCGAGTAGCGACCACCGACCCAGTCCCAGAACTGGAACATGTTCTGCTCGGAAATACCGAATGCGGTGACAGCCTTGGTGTTGGTACTCAGCGCGACGAAGTGCTTCGCGACATGTGCCTTGTCCTTCGCAGTCTTGAGGAACCAATCGCGCGCACTCTCCGCATTCGTAATCGTCTCTTGAGTCGTGAAGGTCTTGCTCGCGATGATGAAGAGTGTAGTTTCGGGGTTGGCCTCGCGCAGGGTCTCGGCGAGGTGCGTGCCATCGATGTTGGACACGAAGTGCGCCTTCAAATCGCGCTTCGCGTAGGGCTTGAGCGCCTCCGTGACCATGACGGGCCCGAGATCCGAGCCACCGATACCAATGTTGACGATAGTGTCGATGGGCTTACCGGTGTAACCCTTCCACTCTCCACTGCGGACCGCTTCCGTAAACTCCTTGATGTGCGCGAGGACCTTCCCGACCTCGTCGACACCAGCCTCCTGGATCTTGAAGTCGTCGAAGTTGCGGAGCGCGACGTGCAGTACCGAGCGATCCTCGGAAGTGTTGATGTGCTCTCCAGCGAACATCTTGTCGCGGTAGGTCTCGACCTCGGCCTCGCGGACGAGGTCAAGGAGCGACGCGAGGACCTGCTCGTTGACCAGGTTCTTGGAAAAGTCCAGGAGGAACGTCACAGATGGTCCATCGGGGGACTTGTACTCGCGGCTAAACTTGGAGAAGCGTTCCGGGTCCTGCGCGAAGAGATCCTTGAGGACGAGCTTTTCGCGCTCGCTGTCGTAGAACTGCTGGAGCTTTTTCCAGGCCGAGTATTCTGGTGAGGAAGTTGATTAGCACCAGTTCAATGCCCTGTGTAGTCATACAACGAGACAAGCCATGTATGCGCGACGATAGTGAGCACCTCGATCGCAAGACATGTTCATGACATGTTAGGTTCAACTAATGGCACTTGCGCGACATTCACGCTGCCCGTCCGAACCCTCACATATGGAGGGTCCTGGGTCCTTGCGCACTTGAATCTGCCTATATCCGCGAAGCAGAACGAATTCGGTCTTTCTCTCTCCCCGAGCCGCGAGGATACCCACTGAAGTTGCAGGAGATGCTACTCACCAGACGCAAGCCTTCCGCTCATGGTGGTCGTCAGAGTATGCAAGAGAACAGGAAGAGAGGAAGATGGTGGACTTGACCCAAAGCGCAGGAATCTTATACTGTCGCGACGAACGGCGTCATCGACCACCTGTGATGCTATCGCGATCGCACTCGTGCGAACCAATTCCCCGGGTCTACACCGTCGCAGTTTCCGGCTCTCCAACGTTCCTTCATCCCCGTCTCCTCTGGGGTCAGTCTTCTCAAGCTCAATCGGCGACTAGGCTGTGCTGCGAGACCATCTCGCGATTAGAATGCAGGGTGCCTGGCTAGGTTGGGAATGCTCAACGCTTTTCGGCGTGGCTCGCTGAGTGTGTGATCGTCTTCACCCCTTCGACGGCCCGCGTCCACTGGTGGCTGATCATCTCTGTGGTAGCTATGGGCATAGGACTTCCCAGTGCCCAGCACAAGCCCGGTATGATGAATAACGAGCTGCTCACGAGAGTCGCAAGGCGTGACTTACCTGACGAAGCAAGAACGTGCGCGTAGTGGATCGGCCGCCGAACGTCGCAGGCACTGCCATGGTTACTTTGCAAGTGCGTCGAGACTCGAAAGACAGAGAAGCGTGAGTCCTCTGTCAGAGGGCAGGCATGCATGTCCAGGTTACGGTGAGTCCCGAGTCTTTGAACGTGAGTACGGACAACGATACATGTTCCACTGCACACACGGCTGTCCTGTCGAGCGCACGGAAGCAGCAAGCGAATCTCTGGTAGAGATGCGGTGAATGACATTTCATTGGGAGTAGAGGGGGTCGGCTGCGGTATGTTCGTGAATATCGTCAAGTCAATGGTCATAGCAACAGCGACGGAGGTCGCGAGCGACTCAGCAAGGTCGGCTCGTCACTGTGCATCGGCTTGTGGGCGCTACCCCTCCATGTCGAACTTTCGCAGATGAGAGACCAAATATTCATCCGTTGAAGCTCTTGTGTTCATCGGACTTGAGAGATCCATCCTACATTCTCTGTCTTTTCCGCTGAAGATGGGAGGATTTGTGATTCTGCAGATTGGAGTGCCACAATACGCGCTGTAGTGGCGCTATAGTGTAGTGGTTATCACTTGGGATTCTGATCGTCATGTGTTCCCAAAACCCAGGTTCGAGCCCTGGTAGCGCCTTTCTCTAGCAAAGACTTCCATTTTTGCCTTCGTCTCAGCACGCAAGCGCAACTCAACGTTCTTGAGCAGTGCTCAGAGAATAGACAAAGATTCGAATGTATTGATGGTACTATACAGATGAGCAGGCGGTGTGATACGGCAGGTCAGGCACACACAGCATATGTACGGGAACGGAGGACAAGTAAAGAAACAGCAATGGCAAGCGCGAAACACCGTCCCGCTCCACCCGAGCAGCCACTCGGGGACCGCGACGCGAGGCACTGGAAGCACGATGGCGTGGCAGGCGAGAACGTGGCCAGACGCCAAGGTATGTGAAGGTGGAGGCCACCTGACAGCCTAAAGAAGCCATCGAATGCCCGAGATGCTGCGATGCGGTGGTACATCGCGCCAGAAGCGGGAGCCTCTCAGCACGTTGTTCCGCGCGGACTTGGAGAAGGTAGCGGATGCGGTTGCGGGCGGCAGGCGGCAGGCGGCAGGCGGGCGGAATGGTGTTTCTGATAGATGGGCATGGGCGTAAGGAGTCGTGACGGAGGAGGATGTGCATGCGGTGCGGGGAGATAGATGTGTGTGTTTGACGAGCAGGGAAGGACGGGTCGGGTCGACGGAAATCTGAGCAGGCCAGTCCGTGTATTAAGGGCTCTAGGGTCGAGACCTCGGCGCTCATGACATGGGAGAGCCGAGAACGCGCTGCCATGCAGGTAACCCGGAAGGAATAGTGTATACTACTAGAGGCGGCCATAACACGAGGACAAGAAGTCGGATGGGTCGCTCAGATCTCGGGTCGGGAGCCGAGTTCGGTGCGGGAGATGTCGGGTGTGAGACTGGAAGGTGACAGCGGAGGCTAAAAGTAAAGGAAGACAATGAACGCTGATACACTTGTATGCAGAAGATGGCCTGGTTTTGGCATGAGGTGACACAACACAGGCGAAAGGAGACCGCATGAACACGCACTGCCCGTGATCCTTCAGCAGATGATGCATGATGAACAGCAACCGGCACTCTCCTCGTCGCCGACATCTCCGCTGGTACCACTCGATGCATTGCCCCGCCTCTTCTTCTTGGGCACGTCCTCCGACGGAGGGGCGTACGCACGGATAGAGAGGTGGACGATGGTCGACGAAGGAGCTGCTGATGGTAACTGTGTAGGGAATGACAGTTCTATGACCATCGTCAGCGGTTTGAGTTATAAATGAAGTCGTGCGCGACGAAGGTATGACGCACTGTCAAGGGGATCCTCGTCTTGCAGAATCTTGCCGAGGTACAATATCCTTAGATATGACGGTGCTGGGGGACGTTCGTCCTGCCAATCTGTACCGAAATATCAGAATGTCGTGCGTCAACAGGCCCACGACCTATGTCGCTCTTGGCGCGAGACCGGGTGGTGCAGAAAGGGCGCGAGCGTGGAGCCGTGACATGCGCAGACGAGTGCTCACCATTTGGCCAGGCGTTCCACACGAGCTCCTTCACACGACCAATCGTCGTCTCTGGCTCAAACGACATTGTCCTCCGCCGTCCGGAGACCAGCAAAAACGTCAGCGACACCTGTGGTGTTTGTGGGATCACATCCTCAACCGGTGCATGTAGGTCATCCTCGGGCTGGGGCTCCTCGCCATCTTCCACGCCGGTCATGATGGCTGGCCGGGGCGTGTTTGCACCTGTGCCCCCAGTAAAGTCGACGCGAGTATACGACGTGCGTGCAGAAGGACAGGCCGGTGAGAACGCATCGATGCGCGCGTGAAGGGCATGCTCGATTAATGCGGGAGGTGGACCTTGTGTCGAAGCCTGTGGGTCGGTAGACGGGTGGGGTGCGGAGGACGGTCTTGGTCCGCTCATAGTGAAAATCCACGGGGATTTGGAAGAGGTGAAGAGCGGGAGGAGAGACAGCGGGATGGGGGGTATAAATGGAAGAGCAATTAAACGAGAACGTGGGAGGGTCGCGTAGATGTCTGGTATGCGCCTCAGGCTCCGATCGGCCAGTCGAGACGAGCCGCTAGCTCCGGAGAGTCGTTCGAGAAGGACAAGAAGGTGTAGACTTAGGTCGATGGGAGGGATGAGAGGGCGAAGAAAAAAGCGTACCAGACACTATATGTGGAGCAGACAAGCAGTGGAAATCAGGCTCAAGTGGGGAGGCGTTCGTGTGACCTCCTACCCCGCTTTCGGCAATCGAAGGTGTATTAGCCGGCGGCGGATGACGGGGCTTCCAAGTTCTGCCACCTGCGTGTGTCTCAGGCGTCGAGCGGGGCAAACGCGAAGGCTATGTGGAGAGCGAGCGTAGCGGTCGAGGGTCGAGGAAATCGGCGACGACGCGGACACGAGCGAGGTTATATACGACCTGTACGAGTCCAACTCGCACTGGCAGGAAGTGAACTCAATCGGGCACACTCGATCTGGACGGGCGTCTGCGATCGCGTCAGGGGAGGTTCCGACGGTCGAGGCAGATTCGAGCCTGCTCGCTCCCGGTGTCTTTCCTCTCCGACTCCGGCTCTCTTCTTCCACTTCCACTTCAAGTTCCAGCTACAGCTCGACTGAGCCAGTATCTAGTGCTTTCTACTCCATTCTTTCTGCCTTCGGCCTCATTTCGATCCGCCATTGACCGCCGACCGACTCGGTTCTTGTCTTCTTCGACCTGATCGACTGGACGTCCTGTGTAGCGCTCTTGGAGCCTCAGAGGTCACACGGGAACGGTGTGCGAACTAGGGGGTCGTACACGGATTGGTGGGTGTTGTTCACTACTTGACACGACCTTCCCCTCATGATGGACCATACAACATGGGTATGGCTGTTAGACGTCTGTTCTGGAATGGTAAGCACCCGACAGACAACCTGCATGTGCTTGAGGTTGTCATGCTGCAATCGAAGTCTATTATTCGCTGGCTCTCCTTCGCCGTACAATCGGCGGGTTATCATCCCACCGTTCAACTCTATCCTGACATTCAACGTCGACGTCGGCGTGTGAGCGCTAGCTGCTAGGCATCATCCCCTGGTTGACTACCGCGACAAATGACAAGGCAATCGTGATGCATCGTTGTCAGGATGGTCAACGTTTAGTAACGATCATCGTGAGTGTCTCTAAGTTTAATTTGTAAGCCGCGGTTGTATATTGTCGATTCGAGAAGTAGCGAAGGGAAGGATTTGTCCGAGCAAGGGCTCACTACACGCATATCGCGAGCTACCATCTACCTCTACGTGAAAAGAGGATCAGTCGTAGCTGGACGATGTCTCGTCTGAGAACCTGGGGCGTCTGTCTAAAACGATGACTTCCAATCCGCTTCCGAGAAGGCGAAAACGATCGATCGTCCAAGGCTTGCGGGCTCAAACAATCAACATAACAACTCGGTAAGTACGTGGATCCAGCAGCGTCTTACCCTCTCCCCCCGGTTAAACATGCCAGAAGTAGCAAGCATCTTCCGAGTTTGAGAAGGCGACAGGGATGGAGGCGTATGGAGGTACCGGTATACTTCGTGTGGCCAACGTATCCCCGGTTTGTTCCAGCGGGACGATAATATTACAGCTAGTGTTCCATTCCAAAGGCGCAGGATCAGGAAATGCGCGTGTATAGAAAGTTTATGTCCGGAAGGATGGTATTTGCTTACAGGTCCTGGCTCCAGATTGGTTCAAACCGTCGCGCCCCCGGGGCAATGTACACAAGCGCTGCCAATCACCCATTCATCCCAATCGCCCCTTTCGACCTGCTACATCGCAAGTCCATCATAGATATCATTGTTGAACCTCGGTATAAATGTGATCGACGAGGGAATTGACTAGACACTGGTGCCACAACCTTCAGATCACAACATCGGTGACAAGAGCCTTCAGCCGCGCAAGCTGCGACTCCGACATCGGAGCATCGTCCGTAAAACACCAGAGCTTCAGGCGTTTCAACGCGAGGCCCCGAGACGCCCGACGTTCGATCGTCGACACCAGCAACTCATGCACATCTTCACCGTCGCCGTACGTCACGTCCAAGCTCTCCAAGATAGGCAACCGCAGCTCAGCCTCATGAGCCAGCGCCTCCAAGAGGGTGCGGAACGAATTGACGACCACCGCCAAGGACACAATCCCGGGTGAGGAAACAAACACGCGCTCCCAATCCGCCTGCAGTACCTCCACGCAGCTCGGTTCGAAGAACATCTCAAGGTCGGTCAACGGCGCGACGGCGATCGCATAGAAGAGGTCGCAGAGCACCTGGGACTCGCCCGTCGGTCCAGTCCTCTCGTCCCACTTCGCATCCTTCAGCTGGAGGGAGACGCGCTTAGCATCGCCCGCGTAGCCGTCCAGAGTTAGTCGGAGCCTGTCGCGAGATGTATCGTGGAACCCTGCTATGTCCCAGTCCCTGCTTTCGCATTCCAGGTCAATCTCGCACTTCACCGACAGCTTCGTGAGGGACGACAGGCACTTTGGGAGGCGGACGCGAGCGAGCAAGCGGCGCTTCCTGAGCTCCGCCTGGCATTGCACGCTGACTCGTGTCGTGGGCGCGCAAGAGATGTGCCGGAACATCGCGTACACCCAGTGGCTCTTGGTGCCATCGTCGCTCATCGTCCACTGCCGCAGGCGCGGGAGGCGGACGTTGCTCGCGTACGGGGGACGGTCGCGTGCTGTGAGATGTTGCAGATTGAGATACTCGAGTCGTCGACAGTTCTTCAGGCCGGAGAGGAGGTCGGCGAAGGTGAGGTACCCGTGGGTGATGGTCATGCTCGTGAGCGTGCGCAGTGCGATCTTGGGTGTGAAGAAGGTGCCGAAAATGTCGAGCTCGCGTAGGCGAGGAAACCGTTCGGAGAGGTTTTCTTGGTGTTCCGGGATGGAAATTGGTGTGTACGAGAACTTGGAAGTGCAGCGGAGGCTGACCAGAGCCGGCATGTTAAGCTGATACACCTTCATGATATCATCAGGGCAACTGCCATCGTAACTCAAGCAGAGCGAAGTGATTCGGGAGAGATGGAGGGGGATCGTGTCAAGAAGATTGACGTCCATCCACTGGAGAGAAAGCGAGAACGTCCGTG